AAATATGAAAGGACGGCACGTGTTACCATTTTATTTTGGTTAACTCACGCGATACACTTAATGATTGAAAATAACTATCATACGCATCTTATATATGTGTAAATGAAAGCAATGAATAGATCACCTGTTTAGTCTAATTTTCAATGGTTGCTTAGTCTAATCTAAGTTCTATATAGTCGATGAATAATTCTTCAATAATAAAGACAAATAATCTATACAGAGCGCACCACAATTTTGTTACCGTAACTATATTTTATGGCTCAAAACGACTCTTTTTAAATAGTAATTATGTGTATATAAATTATATGTATATAAATGCACAGTATAAAGGTAATTTTATTATGGAGGTATTCCTAATTTAAGGTCAGTGTTTAGAATAAAAATAAAAATCCAAGTTTCTGCTTATTACAATTTAAGGTGGTAACACTCACAACACTCACCAAAACTCGTTATGAATCACATGAGAATTGGCAATGGTTTACTATGTAAAATCACGAAGCTATTGTCCCGTGGCACAATCAATTTTTGAGGAAATCGCTAACAATTTCATAGAACAAAGTTCTAAACACTTTTTAATACAAAATGGCATCTATCCAGTCAGCAGGCTGGTGACATCAAAGCCATTAGGTCAATATCATTATATATATATTTCCCTGGAGTAAAATGTATTGCGAAAATTAATGCATTTTTGGGATTTTTATTTTTGAGTAGGTTAATGGGTTCTTCTAGCACGCTCAATAGCTGAAAATAACCAGCGCCGTAATATGGTTATGTATTCATTGTGATAACATTTGTGCTAAATTGTTTTCTTTTCCTGATGAAGAAGGCTAATACCCATATCCTCAAGGCATTAGTTCTCTATTCTGCAGATGCTTTTTGAAATCGCCTCTATTACTAAATTATACGTCATTCTTCACATTATAATTGTTATTTCAAACAAAGGGTCACTCGTATTCTACATATTTCCAATTCCCTTCGAACATTTAGAATTTTATAAATCATGGATTACCAGCACTAATTGAGCGAATCTTATGATCAAACGCCGTGTCGCATAAGTTCACCGTCGGCAACATAATATTCACACTCATCAGATCCGTGCCATTATGTAGTAAAACACATAGTACACAAATTAGGTGTCGTGGCTTAGTTATGAAATGTCCAGAAATGCATCTTTTACAGATGTATTCAGTACAATCCATAAATGTACTATTCATGGGTCAAAGTAGCCTCGGCGATAGCAGGATGTACTTTACACAAGACGAATCAGTAAAGATAAAGACGCCAAGTATATGTACTTACTAAATACTCATGGGAAACTATCATTAAATACATAATTATGTTTTTTTTACTTTGATTAGTTTGAAGTGAATTTGACTTTGCACACCGCCAAATTAGTTTGTTTTCAAACATCCAAATTGTTTCCCCTTTCTAGGTACAATTGATATAGTATATCGACTTTTTATCTACCTCTCTATTATAAAATTTCCTTTTACAAACAAAGTAGAACAGTAAGATTACATGTTTAGCGTTTGCGTTAATGAATAAAGTATTAACTCAGTACTTATGTCATGCAGAGGTGTAATTTTTCAGTGGATATATCTTGCAATCAACGAAATGAGAATATGTATGAATAATGCCAACATTGAGTTCCAGAAAACAAATTTTGTACCCGTCAAAACAATATCATAAACAATATCGCAAATATCATTTTGTATTTTATCAAAATTGTCCATATTTTGTGAGATCCTCAACATGTGATTATTTATTGCAGATGAAAAAAGTCAGTTAATTTTAAGATACTAAGTAAGTCATCATAACGTGACTTGGTGAACATTAGACTACAGCGCAGTACATTACAGGAGTATATTAGCCTGGTTTAGTTCAGTTAAATTGATTTGTTACACAGAACCCATGATTACTAAATAAATTAAGTGCGCTTTAGAATTAGTTTTATGATTATACGTCGTCCTGAGACTGGCAACCTTGTAATTGTGCGTAAAGAGATATATTTATATTATAATGGCTTACTTGTCATGATTACCAATGCTAATTCGTGTATGTAATTTTAAAAGACAGTCATCTATTGAACGATAGCGTTATTTATATTTTGACTTTATATTCATTGACTTTGTTTGAAGACAAAGACTCACTTTGTGTAATATACTTGTGTATTTTGATATCTCGATATGTTGAAATAGGATGAACGCTTCTTAGTTTATGTAAATACAAGAAACAATAATATTTATGTTGATGTTATGATCTTTAAATCTTTAAATTAGTCAAACACGACTAGTTTATATTTTTTATAACTTATTATTTATAACATACTGTCCATTAAGCTGTATATTTTAAATACCTCATTCTTCGTGGATTAACTCACAATCGTACCATTGCATAATTAGTCTTTACTAACGATCCTAGTTCAACACTTTGACAATAATTCATATTGATCCACTACACAAGGAGAGTGTTACGAAGAGATTAAATGTATATAAGAATTATTGAGTTTCTGGTAATCACATTGTTAACGTGTGTGATTATATTTTACGTTTTTACTATGCGACATTCTGTAAATAAATGCGAATGTGAGGATTCTATTTAGTTATTACCGGCACGGACTACTATACTACATCTACATCTGTGCTAGTAGGACATATACCAGTAGACGGTGGCACATAGTTACAAATAATCTAATAACGTGACACAGTGAAACCAAGTCATATTGTGATTCGAACGTTATCATTTCATACTCCAGACAACAAATACACTACTTGTTTTGCCTTGACTTCTCGTTGTTTATAATTGCGGACATAACAACATAGTTGTACTCACGTATTGTTATAAATGCCGTCCAATGTGACCGGAGTGAATAACACGGAGCAGAAGACAAGAATCACGTGTAGTTTCCAAGGCATGGCGACACATTGATAGTAACGACTACTGATCAAGCTAATGTAGTATAACGAATTAATAATCACATACCAGTGACGTCAGATATCCAGCAGTCCAGTTAGTAGCAATACGTATTACATTACCACTTTATAGTCTCGTCCAATCAAATGAGAAGGTCAATTCTGGCGATATAATATTCATATGTGTATTGAAATATGCACAGCGCACCAAGAATTCAGTAAGTTTGAATAACACTGCCTCTGGACACCAATTATATAAGACAAGAATTAATGAAGATAGAAAAGGCAGTACAATGGTTTCATCTTCGTATTTAAATAATTGAAATGTATGATTAGAATTATCAATCAACTACATAGTTTTCGCATACCCATACTGCAACCCTGCATCTATTTTAACAACCTTGTTCCATGATAGATTGGATGCCACTGATGTCACAAGGCACGTCGATGCATCGATTGAGTATCCCTAATCCATTCTCTCCGATAGCATGCTATAACGTAGCTGGCGCTTTATTATATATTGAAACAAGCGGCGCAAAAACCATTAACTTCACAGTGTAAACGAAGTTTCTTAGAACGCGGATGAGCATAGTGGCCTTGTGATGAAAGTTGAGAGTTGCCGCATCTCACGTACGACGTCTGAATAAAAGAACGGTATTTAATATTTGTATGATTTGCGTATTTCATTCCATGCAACATTTATTTGATGATTACTAAACCTCAGTATAAAGAAACAAGTAGCACAAATTGAGCCAATTAGCAATTAGCCTTCATTTGACTATTCCGGAAGCTGATTAGACGAAGCGAATATGATTTTATCTTGTCTTTTTTTGTTATAACGAATGAATTTCATACAGAAATTTGAATTGTGTAATATACACACATCTTGTTATAAAAAATGTGAAACGCAACAAAATGTAATACTAACATAAAATACATATCACATGTAAAAAAAATCATGTACAGTTACATACTTCATATCTTGTGTTTATGCACACACGTAACCCTGGGCTTGTTATTATATTTACTCGCTTTCGTAATTAAAACAGAAAGCTATACAAAACCGGTTTGGATGTATAGTATTTAGAAGTACATTGTATACAACCAGGGGATTCTACATTTAAGGGGATGCATGACGCATTAGATAACGCATTCTAAGTGAATTAGAAATTCGATATATTATTCTAACAAGAGCAATGTACATTGTACGGTGGATATCATCGCATATGTTATCTAATGAAATCCGACACGTTTTGTGCGCATCTATATTATTTCCAGTTTTGTAGATTGAAAAAACGGTCAATCAGGTCATTTCATTTTTCTGCAAATTCTAAAGTTTTAGACTACATATTCGCACATACTTTGTCCTCAATTCAGAAGGAATTCGCGTAAGGTAATGCTTTTAATGAATATAAATTGAATATGTGGAATTCAATAGTGGCGTTTTCATTGAACAGCATCCTTGCTTTTCACAAAAACACCTATTTAATAAACTTGTGTTGTCATTAGTCGATGTTTACGTTGATATTGGCCAAGGACAATTATATCTCATATGAGGGCCATCTATCACTAAGGTAAATATGTTACTAGATGAATCTTATTTCACATCGAAATCGAAACATCAATAGATGACAACATTTATTGGAGTGAAGACAAATATCAAGTTAAATGTATTTTAACTACATTTGCCCGAGACTACGATTTTGAAGAAGAAATAACATACCGAGTAGCAGATCTTTAAACGAAGGTCTTATAGGGAAAGAAGTCCAAGAACACCGCAAACAAACAAATTACTGACAACAATTGATATAATAGACAGATAAGATTAGTAAGAGAAATTTGTTTATGAGAAATGTGGACAACATGGTACACATGAATTGATTGAAGGTGTTTGAAAATAGTGAGCACATCCTGCTCCACATTTTCACACGTCACATACCATTATGCGTCATATTTAAGATGTTTCTATTTGAAATCTGATGTCAACATCAGACATTCATCACCATTACATTGGAAGCAATTAAATCTCCGTATTGTTTGTTTTTAAATAATGTCTGTACAGATTATGTTTCATGCAAATAACGAAATAAATCAAGGGAGTTCAATTTGTTCCCATTGGAATGGCAATACATTGTTGAAAATTTGTTGCCCGAACTTGACTGTTGTCAATAAGCTGTCAATAAAATATTTTAGCATACTGATAATGAAGACTATTATCTTGTTCAATTAGGTCTTATTTTTAACAATGTAGGTGCAATCATATGCAATTATTATGTATTTGTAGCGACAACAAATTTGTATTAAAACAATACTTGATATTTTTCTTTCAGAAAGACTGTTGACAATAAAACACATGGCTGTTTTTTTAATTTTTATTTTTTTATTTTATTTACTCGACACCAACTAAAAGCTAATTCTAATATAATTATATTAGGAATATATATACGTATTGGTCACAATATATATATAGTCCAGCAGTTTATTTACAGGTGAACAAACTAATAATAGTTCTCTAGTGTTTTGACGATACAAACAATGACCCCTTCATCGGAGTTTTTCACTATCATTTGTTGGGTCTATCCATCAGTGACTCTGATAATTCGAAATTCTTATCCATATGACACATATATGAGTTGTGCAGATGCTGGTGGTATAAATGGCATAAATTGCAAGTCCATAAACTGTAATATGTAATAATTTATTCGTTTTTATTAAAAAAGATTTTAATGGATTCTAATCTAATCCATCTATTCAAAAATAATACGATAGAGATGGAAGATAATTATAACGTTTATAATTATATTTTATCTCATAAAAGTGAAATGATTCTTGTAATGAAGTTTACAGTTGCAGTAAAATCATAATCAAACGCAAGTGTAGAGTATTGAGTTTAAAAGATAATTTAAATAGGTATTCGTTTGAAATGTTAAGAAGACTAACTTTGTACATTAATAATGCATGATTGTGTAAATAGAAGTTTAGTATTTAATTTTAAAAAGTTCAACAGTTATGTATATAACTCTGTCTCATTCGAACATGACCTTTACATTGAACTGACACCCATGAGTACACATATCAATCAATAGTTTTATTCTCGTATTGGCTGTGAATGAATTATTAACGAACTACCATTACCATTAAGTGACAATTCAAATCAATGCTTTTCATTATAATAATCTTGTTAGTATTCAATAATATTTAATAATAAATACTAAATACATTATTTGAAATACTTAGTATATATTTAGGTATTGTAGTATTAGTCAATATATATATTCTGTTATTTTGTTTAATATACACATATTATATTAAAATATACTAACAATTTCATCAACGCGTTTTGTAAGACGCGGTGCACCCTTTTCAAACCTTATGTCATTGAGCGAAATTGAGATACAATCAACAGGAAAACCCTTCCCATTTTCATCAAATATATTAAAATATAACTGTAGAATATTGTATATTTCGGAAATGTGGTTGGAAATCTATTTCATTTCATATTTTTTAATTTTCTAGCGTCTTTGAGAACTCACGTATTTGTTATTGTCCACAGTGTGTCCCTTCGGGCAAAAAAGTGTGCATGCTCATCAGAAAATTGCTTTTATTAAGTGTCAGTCCCGCTCAAAAAATCGTATAAACATCTAATTAGAGACTGCATGTATAATGTATGACTAAATCTTCTCATGGGAAAATGATGTGGATCAGGCATGTGATTTGGCCTCCCTTTGGTTTCTTTAAAAAAATAATTAACTGTTTTGCATTTACTATGTCTGACCAAGGATTTTTACTAGAAACAAACAAATAAATAAATTTTATTATTAACGTATTTTTGCTGCCATTTTGAATTTTTGGTAAGAAGTGGCCAACATGTATAACAATGGTTTGGCAGTTATATGGTTCGGACCTAGCTAGTTATCTCGCAATCCAACTTGTGCCTCATTATGTGGATACATAGGTATTACATGGAAACGATAGCTGCCAAGAAAGCAGTCACCTGTTTATCAATTGATACACTCCAATTGCACTTATCACAATTATGTTCTTAGTTATTACGTCTTGCTTCTTTGAAATTAAATATTGCACTTTAACAAAAATAGATGTTAATGATAGTCTCTGAGTTGTCTGCTGAGTACTTCGCATGTGTGGAATGATATTTAAACGTGTTTAGTAAAATGGATAGCAGTTGTTATCTAAATATCTGGCGGAGTGATTACTGTCGGCGTGTTTTTTCAATCCAAGTGTATGGGATTGGGACGTCGTGATCTCTCTAGATACCCTTGAGCAACTGCCCTTTATATTGATGGCGAACTAAGCGATTTTTAATGATTAATTTATAATAATAATAACAACCTACATTAATTTTGAAGAGTTTTCACAATTCCCAAAAACGATAAAAGACTTGTTCTTTCTATTCATAATTTTTATTCGCAGGGCAGTGTATATTTGTTGACTGCGATAATGTTTGTAGCTTCATTGCCTACTAATACTCAAGGCCGTTTATTAGTTAAATAATTAATACAATAATGCATTAATAGAGGATAAAATATAAACAAAGGATTACAAACAGATTATAATTAATTTACCGCAATTTTGCGATCAGCTTCAAATGAACTCGCTATACATTCAGTAGTTGTTGTGGACAGTGTTTTAGGAAGCTTTAAGTATTCGACATCAGTATGAATTTGTCTCATCCAGCACAATTTTACCATTGAACGACGATGACATATAATCAACAACATGAAGGAATTGCCACCGCATGACTTATAAAAACGTACCTCAAAGCAAATTACCACAGCATATCAGTAATTATTTCACTCAAGTCTACTGGAAACAATTAACAATTTTACGAGAATAATTAATGAATCTAAATTAATGAGCTGCAGATTATTGTTTTTCAGTGAAAACAAAATAACCAGGACTTGAATTATTGAAACAGGTAGTATCAATATATACTACTTAACCATGAAGTGTGGAACTATGAA